GAAAAATAACAAGATGATAGCCTTAAACTCAATTGTATTAATGATTACATTTAGGCAGATATTGGCCGGGTGCGGTGGCTCATGTCTGTAATCCTAGCACTCTGGGAGGCTGAGGCAGGAGGATTGCTTGAGCTCAGGAGTTCAAGACCAACCTGAGCAAGAGCATAACCCCATCTCTATTTAAAATAATTTTAAAAAGGCAGATATTACCAGACTACATAAAGGAGCAAGACCCAGATATATGCTATTTAACAACACAAGTTTTAAATAAAAAGATACAGGTAATTGAAAATATAAAAATGAAAAAATATACAATGGCAATACTAGTTGTAAGAAAGCAAAACTAGCTAATTAATATCAGACAAAGAGACTTTAAGATGAGGAGTTTCATTAGAGATAAAGAAGATATTTTGTAATGACAGAAGCGTCAATCTATTAAGAAGACACAACCATCCTAAACGTGCATGCAACTAATCACAGGGTTTCAATGAAGCAAAAACTATAAATTTTTTATTTCAATAAAGGGAGAAATAAAAACAAATTTATAATTACAACTAGAGATTTTAAAGAGACCCCTTTCCGTAATTGATAGAAAAAGTAGATATGTATGATGAGACGCTGTTGGCAGGTTTGGAGCCAGGGCAGGTGTAATCTCATTTGATTTATGAAGACTGCTCTGGCTTCAAAGTAGATTGTAGAGAAAACCAGGAAAAAAGTTAGGGGGCTATTACAATAAGCCAGGCAAGAATTCTAGTGGCCTGAACTATGGTGTTAATGATGGCTCTTGGGAATACGGACAGACCCAAATCTGGCCTGTTGAGACATCCACAACCAGCCAGGTACAAGAGTTGCTCTGTCATTGACCCCAGTTCTCATGCAGTAAAACTGGTACAAAGAACAAACTGTAGTTACTCTGCAAACCTAAAGTCTGACATCGTCCTGCCTACCCAGAGATTCTAAGTAAAAAGCAATCCAGTTTGAGGCAGATCAGCAGTGGACAAATTTTCTGATGTTAAGATTGTCAAACACTCATGGGAAAGAATTTATTGAATGTGAACACAGAGTCAAGATTATATTTTTAAACTTGTTGCTTTTAAGAACATTCAAACTCCTGCCTGGCTATTGGCGATATTCTCAGCAGGACATTTCCGTGGGTATGGGGTCCAGCTGCCCATCTTGTTCCTTCTTCATGCTTTCAGGAAGGCAGGTGAGTTGGGAATGGAACCGCCAGTGTGGACAGCTGTAGACACAAGCGTGTTGGGTAGAGGCCCTTGCTGGCTCTAATAATTGGCAGATACTCGAAAAGGACACTACTGGGCCTAAATTCCACTCCTGTTTACATAGAAAAAAAAAATGCAGTGCTCCCAGACAGGGACCTGAATACAACCCCACTGTAATTTAACAGATATTCATTAAGCAGTTTTCTGTAAGTTGGGCCCTTGTGTGTACTAGGCTATGGTGTAAGAATGGTGGAAAGAAAGAAAATCTCCCTGCCGTCATGAAGTCAACTGTTGAATGAGAGGAAATAGACATTAAGCAGATAATTAAATAAGTGATGAGAATTGTGCTAAGTGAGATGAGGGAAAGGTGCTTGACAACATAAAACATTACAGTGGGGATTTGGGCAAAGAGTCCTTGAGGAAGTGACCTTTAATCAGAAGTTTGGAGAAGAAAAACTGGGCGAGGGTGGGGGAAAGATCATTCTAAGCATAGAAAATGCAAAGAGCCATACAACACAGGGAGGACAGAATAGGACATTGAAGGGCTGCAAATAAGCAGATGAACCTGGAGTGAGAAATACAGAGGGGGAGGGGGAGGAAAATGGGGGGGAGGAATATGGGGAGCAGGAGGAGAAGGGAGAAAAGGATTTTTTTCCTATGAGCAGTGGAGCAGTGGGAATCCAATATCAAGCTCTAAGTTTTCAGTAACACAGTGCAAGAGAGTCTCAAAGACTGATTTCTGGGAGCTTAAATTATTATTGCAGGCCAAAGTTTGAAATGCATTCCTCCTAGGCTTTAAGATTCACAAAGAATCCCAAGGAGTACCAAAGTCCTGGCATTACCCTCGCTGAGGCAGAAGTCCAGGGGTGGGCTGTGGTTGGAGCTTCAAGCTAGGAATGGTTTAGGGGAAGCTCAGACCCTGGATTTCAGGAGCTGAAGAAGCCACTTGGGAAATAGACTATACTGCCCATTAACCCAACATCCTCTTTCTTTGATCCAATTATTGAATTAGAAAGGGAGGTGTTGAAGACGAATGGGAGTTTTTAACATTAATCACTATCTAATGATGGCAAAGCCTGAAAGATGTCAGATTTTATTTGATAGATTTATCCTGAAACTGATATGTACACTGACAGTTGAGGAAATTAATGGTTTGGCTTTACAGAGGACTGGCAGGATAAACTGACTCTGACAGGCTAAATTAAGACTAGGCTGTGACAGAATGTAAACTGCCAACTTCATATTTTGCGTGTAATGCTTTAGAAGCTTTCGGTACTGATTTCTAAGCCTCACAAATATGTTTAAATAAATGAAAATTCAAGGGAGGACGTTATCTTGAAGAGATGACATTACAGCAGAGTGATGAATAAATAATTTAGAAGTGGCGTCTTCAACCATGCACATGTTTTTAAATGCACAGATTTACTAATAGAATCAAATAAGATAAAGGAAAATGAATCAATGTCAGGCTTGTATTTGAAATTTTAGAGTGTATGTAAATTCCTTGAGGGCAGAAATATGTCTCATGAATCTCTGCATTCCTAGTGACTAGCACAGGGAAGGGTACACAGTTGGCACTCAATAAACGTTAGTTGCAAAAATGTGTTGTGTATCAGTCAGCGTTAGTGATAGATACCAGGTAATTGATTAATATTCATCATTTTCTAATTTATTTAATACTGGATAATAAGCTAATCATTTTTATGTACAAAAATGAATTGAAGGATTTCATGGAAAATGAACTTTACTAATCTTCCTAACCTCTAGAATAATTTGGAAAAAATGTTTCAAGCAGAATGATATAGTACCTTCCATAGTCAACTGCATTGAAATAATTTAATTATTTTATCAGTTTACCTATATAAAAGAGATTTGTTTCCATTTCCCCCTCTTTTTAATTTTTCCAAAATTATTTTCAATGTGATCAATTCCTTTCTACAGAGAACCTTTTGTTGCACAAACATGATTTATTGATTGAGTTGTGTTCCTATCAAATTTTACTCTTTATAGATACTGCCATGCATTTCCCTTTGAGGACGCTATTTGCACCAAGCCTCATTCATCTGGCTTAAATTTTAAAGATTTGAATTTTGACAAAAATGTGATTTTCCAGCAGTTTTTAGTCATAGAAAATTTTACCAAGTATGGTTTTAACTACTATCAATTTTATTTTGCGTTGATTTTTTTATTTCAATAATGTTCATTATGTATTGAAGGAAAACCCACCAGAAAATCGTGAGCAATATTGGAAAGTATAGAGATGTGATCAGGGTTCGGGGGAGATGGGAGTGATTTGGGTGAATAGGAGATGAGACAGGAGATGGGAGAGAGAGTGTGAGAGAGGCAGACAATGGGGAAATAACGACTTTATGAGATTAAGTCAAAAATGTTTACCTTCATTAAAGGATATGTTTATTATTGATTGGGTTCTCATGCTTGGCACCCTCAAATTTCATTTAGAATAAAGTTACCTCACATTTTCACTAAGTAAAAAACCACAATAATCTGCTAAGAAAATTTTACAAATGTTGAATCACAACCTTCTTGTAAAATTTCTTAATAGTTCCTTACCTTGAATAGGGTCCCTCTTCTGAAGCTCATTTTCCAAACATAATACCCCAAGCACATTTTAGAGGTGAAAGTCCCAGCCTCCAAATCCCGAAACCACTTCCTAAGTTGTAGACAGAACCTGAGTTGATGCACCATCTTCTACTCTTCTCCTTTAACATACTCATTCTCTGGGGATTGCTATGAAGCGGGACTTTTTCCATAGATTTTTGACCACATATTTCTTTTTTGTGAAATGTCTATTCAAATTACTTGCGCATTTTTACAATGGGTTATCTGTCTTTTAAATTAATTTGTAAGTGTTCTTTAGATTTGTGGTTATTAGTCTTTTGTTTATTATGTGTGTTGCAAACATCTCCCAAGCTGTGGTTATCTTTTCACTCTATGATATCGGTTGATGAATAGAATTTCTTAATTTTAATGTAGTCAAATTTAGCCATTTTCTCTTATAGACTCTCATTTAAAAACACCTTCTTACCCTGAAGTTATGAAACTACGTTCCCATGATATATTCTAAAATCTTTATTGTTTTGCCTTTCACATTTAAGATTTTAATCTACTTAGAATTAATTTTGCATGTATGTTATTTGAAAGATGTCCAATTTCGTTTTTCTACATAACCCAATTTTCCCAGATTCATTTATTGAAAAGACCGTCTTTTCTTGGCTGATTCCCACCAATTTTTCACACATGACGCTGATATATAAGTCACATTTTTGTGTTCTTCATTTCTCTTGCATCTCAGATGTGTATCATTTGCCCCTATCTTTCTGCCTGCAGTAAATTCTTTAGAATTTCTACTGATGGAAAACAATGTTGGCTTTTGTTTGTCTAAAAATATCTTTAATCTCACTCTTGGAAAATATTTTTGCTGGATAGATATGGAATTCTAAAATAGCAATTATTTTCTCTCAGCACATCATTCCAATGTATTTTGGCTTCTGCTGTTGCTATGGAGAAGGAAACTGTCAGTCTAATGGTTGCTTCTTCGTAGGTGTCCTGTGTTCCCATCTCTGGCTGCTTTTATAATCTTCTCTTTGTCTCTCATGCTCTGTGGTCTCACGATATGTCTAGGTTTGCTTTTTTTGTTTTTGTTGCTGTTGTTGTTTTAGTTATCTTGCTTGAGACTCATGGAGATTCTTTAACCAAAAGTCCATTTTATCAGAAAGAAGTAAAGGGTTTTCATGTCCTCTTTCCCCCTCTTCTTTCTAGAGCATATGTACATGCATGCAGGAGAACAGATCAGAGAAGCTGAAGATACTGAAAAGAAGTTAATGATTGACGGAATGAGGTCCCTGAGGAAGAGACAAAGCATGGGCCCACAGCACAGGTTGGCAACAAGGCCTCAGGGGGAGGAGGAAGGATGGGTGTGGATATCCTTAATATTTGTTGCTGAGCAGTGAGCAGAAAGTTAATGGTGTTTTGCTTGATAGATAAGGATCATTCATTATTTAATAGGCATGTTATGTGCTAGGAACATAGTGGTAAACAAAACGAGCTTACTTTTTGCCTTCCTGAAGCTTATATTCCAAAGGGGGAAACTGACCTTATATAAGTAACAAATAAAAAAATCATCACCAATTGTGAAAGTGCTATGAAGGAAATACACAGTGTACTGTAGTGTGTGTGTGTGTGTGTGTGTGTGTGTACATATATACACACACACATTTGTATATATTATATATGTGTTTGTATATATTGTATACATTTGCATTTATATGTACATTTATAAGAGACTTTGTCATTATTTTCAAAGTATGGTGTCATTAATTTGATGTGATCTTTTATGTATACTGTTTGCTGCATCTTGATTTTTCTCATTTGATAATGCCTCATGGAAACTTCCCTATGTCAATTAGTATATGTTATCATTCTTTCTTTTTTAGTATATGTGCTGCTAAAGCAAGCACAATAAATGTTTTTTATTATGCATCTTTTACTTTTTAATTTTTTTTAAATTGATTTGTGGAGTACATGTGCCGATTTGTAACATGGATATATTGTACAGTGGTGAAGTCTAGGCTTTTTGTGTGATCTTCGTACAGTTAGTGTACATAGTACCATTAGGTAATTTCCTATCCCACACCACTCTCTCAGACAGTCCAAGTCTCCAATGTCTGTTATTCCATTCTCTGTGGCCATGTGTGCTCATTATTTAGCTCCCATTTATAAGTGAGAACATGCAGTATTTGACTTTCTGTTTCTGAGTTATTTCACTTAACATAATGGCCTCCAGTTCCATCTGTGTTGCTACAAGACATGATTTAATTTTTTTATGTCTAAGTAGTATTCTATGGTATGTATATACATCACATTTATCCAATCATCAGTTGAGAGACACTTAGGTTGGTTCTATATCTTTGCTTTTGTGAATAGGGCTGCAATAAATATATGAGTGCAGGATAAAATTCAGCATCCCTTCATGATAAAAATTCTCAACAAACTAGGCACAGAAGGAACATACCTCAATAATAAAATCCATATGTGACAAACCCATAGCCAACATGATTATGAATGGGAAAATGTTGAAAGAATTCCCCTAAGAACTGGAACAAGATAAGGATGCCCACTCTCACTACTCTTACTCAACACAGTAATGGAAAATCCTAGCCAGAGAAATCAGGCAAGAAAAGAAACAAAAGGCATCCAAATTGGAAAAGAGGAAGTTAAAATATCTCTGTTCACTGATGATATAATATTATACTTAGAAAACCCTAAAGACTCCTCCAAAAGACTCCTAGATTTAATAAATGAATTCAGTAAAGGCTCAGGATAAAAATCAATGTACAGAAGTCAATAGCTTTTTTATATACCAATAACAACCAAGCTGAGAACCAAATCAAGAACTAAATCCTATTTGCAATAGCTATAGCCCACCCCCTGCCCCTCCCCAAGCAATATATTTAACCAAGAAGGTGAAATATCTCCATAAGAAAAACTACAAAATACCTATGAAAGAACAAATGGAAAAACATCTCACACTCATGGATTGGAAGAGTCAACATTGTTAAACTCACCATACTGCCCAAACCAATATATAGATTCAATGAAATCCCTATCAAAATACCAATGTTATTTTTTACAGAATTAGAAAAAAAAAATCCTAAAATTCATATGCAATGTAAAAAGAGCCTGAATAGCCAAAACAATCCTAAGTAAAAATAACAAAGCTGGAGGCATAACATTACCTGACTTTGAACTATACTACAAGGCTATAGCAACCAGAACAGTATTGTTGTGATATAAAAATAGGCACATAGATGAATGGAACAGGATAGAGAATCCCAAAATAAAGCTTCATACAACCAACTGATCTTTAACAAAGCAGACAAAAACATACACCAAGTAAAGGAAATCCTATTTAATAAACCATGCTAGGAAAATATGACAGCCACATGCTTAAGAATAACACTGGATCCCATCTATCATCCTATACAAAAATTAACTCAAAATGGATTAAAGACTTCAATGTAAGACTTGAACCTATAAAAGTTCTAAAAAGTGAAGGAAAAACTCTGTTGGATATTGGCTTGGGGAAAGAATTTATGACTAAGACCTCAAAAGCACATGTAACAAAACAAAAATAAATGAGACTTAAACTAAAAAGTCTCTGCACAGCAAAAGAAATAGTCAATGAAGTAAATAGACAACCTGCAGAATGGGAGAAAATTTTTGCGATCTATGCATCTGACTAAGGATTAATATCCAGAATCTATAAGGAACTCAAACAACTGAACAACAACAAAATAATTAATCCCATTAAAAGGTGGGCAAAGGACATGAAGTGGGCATAGGACATTTTTCAAAAGAAGACATACAAATGGCCAAGAAATGTATGAAAAATGCTCAACATCACTAATCATCAGAGAAATGCAAATTAAAACTATAATGAGATATCATCTTACTCCAGTTAGAATGGCCACTATTAAAAAGTCAAAAAATAATAGATGTTGTTGAGGATGCATAGAACTGCTTTTGGGAATGTAAATTAGTACAACCTCTGTAGAAAACAGAATGGAGATTCCTCAAAGAACTGAAAATAGGTCTACCACTTCATCCAGCAATTTCCAATACTGGGTATCTACCCAAAAGAAAAGAAATCATTGTATCAAGCTTTCTTTTTACTGGCTGCAATATATTAGGCCATTCCTCTTATGTTGTGATAACTTTGCTTCCATTTCTGGCCACTAAAAATAATGCTGAAACAATGCTGGACATATATTCTTACATATTCATGCTGATATTTCCAGAGGATATGTTCTCAGGAGGAGAATTCCTTGACCAAATTATATATACATTTTTACATTGTTTTCAGATTCTTTTTGAAAGTTCTTATATGTTGACATTCATACCAGAAATAAATGTGAGTATCCTTTCTTCATATCCTTATTATGTTGCTTTCTTTTTTCCTGTTTGATAAGTGCAAATGTATATATGCAAATGCATATATACAGACATATGTGTATATGTATATATAAAATTTGGTATTTTATAGTGAGTTGAGCATCTTTTTATTGATTTGCTCACTGTTTGGATTTTCTCTTCTATGAACTGTTTCTTTGTCAATTTTTCTAATACATTATTTGTCCTCTTCTTGTCATTTTGAAACCTCTTTATACATGATAAGGACATTAACTAATCTCTACATGTAAAAATAGATTTCTCTCTTTTTTTTGTTTTTAGTGATGTTATATATAATATCTTCATAGCAGAATATTATTTTTTATATAGTCAAGCATGTTTGCTGTTTTTAGCTCCTAGATTTTAGTCTTGGTTAAGAAGTTCTTTCTCAATTCCTCAATTTTACATGAAGTATTGTTAATTAAGAATTAATTAATTTAGTAAGATTATTATTGCTTTAAAGAAATTTAAGTCATTAAGACACTTGTAATTTTTTTTTTAAAAGACAGGTCTCACCATGTTGCCCAGGCTGGAGTACAGTGATGCTATCACAGGCATTGCAGCATTGAATTCCTACCTTCAAGTGATCCTCCTGCCTCAGCCTCCTGACTAGCTGGGACTACAGGCACATGCCACTGCACCTGACTTTTTTACTTTTTTGTATTTTTAATATGTTTTTTTCCAGATCAATAATTAGTTTTACCGATGCTAATAATTCACCCTTTCCTTCTTACTGGATGCATCATCTTTGTCCAGATTTCGTACTGACCAGTACAAAGAAAGCCCCGTGCCCAGCGAATAGACCTGAGGCAGGAGGAGGGGAACAATGTGAAGAAGAGGAACGATGACACTGCCAAGGAAGGTGACAGTGCAGTGCTGTGTGGAGCTGATAGAGAACGCTTCCCCTATAGGCAGGAGAGCAGATGGATTAATGAGAGAGAGCCAGTCTTGGGATGGAAACTAATGTCAAGGACACATGGGAGAAGTATTTCAAAGCATGGAGCTCAAAGGGTGGCAGATTTCTTCTCTCACTCCCTTACTTATCTTTATATTATAGTTTTATCATACCAAAAAAACACATAGATTTATTTTTTCACAGCCTGAAAGCTAGAAGTTCAAGGTCTAAGTGTCAGCAGGTTTGTTTCTTCGGAAGCCTCACTCCTTGGCCTATAGGTGGCTGTTTTCTCACTGTGTCCTCACGTGGTCACCTCTTGATCTGTGTGTTTTCTGTTTCCTAATCTCTTCTTCTTACAAGGACAACAGTCATATTGGATTAGGGCCATCCACATGACCTCATTTTACCTCTTTAAATAAAGCCCTTAACTGCAAATAGAGTCACATTCTGGGGTCCTAGGGTGTACAACTTTCTGTAAACTTTGGGAGAACACAACACTTGTTCTCTCTATTTATGCCACGTCTGTGAGAGCTGTCTGTATTAATACACATGGTATATTTATTTTTCAATGCTGTGTAATTTTTTGTCGCATGAATGTACTAAAAATTTCTTTATTAATTCACTTGAGCACTTGAATTGTTTCCAGCTTTTTGTTTTAAAAAGAATGCTGCTTTGAACATTCTTGGACATACTCCTAGTATAAATATTTAATTATACACATAAGAATAGAATTTCTGGATGTTAGGGTGAATGTGTCTTCAATTTTACTAAATTATGTCAAATGAAAAACATATTTCTGATAGATACCCCATATAATGTTATGGAAATATTTTTCAGTACTAGTTGTTAAAGCTTTAGTTGTTTTTTTAAAATCATAAATTATTTTTAATTTTTATTGAATGCTTTTCTCTATTAATTTTATTTAACAAATACATAGATGGTGTAATGAGTGATATACCATACTTAACAGTTACCAACTCATCTATTAATATTGAAATAATCACATTATTTTTCTTGATTTTCCTAATATAGTGAAGAGCATTAATAGGCTTTGTAATGTAAAATTGCCCTTGCATTTCTAGAATAAGCTCTACTTGGTCATGATGAATTATTTTTTCATATATTGCTGGTTTTGGTTTGCTAACATTTTTCTTAAGATTGTTGCATCTATGTTCAGAAGAAAGATTGGCTCATAATTTTCATTATTCATTTTTTTCCCTGCCTAGTTTTTAATACCAATGTTGTACTAGTCTCTTAGAATAGGACTGGTGGGGGAGGTTCCCTCTTTTCCTTCTATTCCAAAGGGTGTATATAAGACCGGAAATTACCTGTTCACATATATTTTTGTAATATACTTTTAATCTGTAAAACTAGTTAGAACTGATGTTTTCTTAATTGTTTGATAACATCTATTTATATGGCATTTATTTTTAATTTTGTTTCTTTAAACATTTCTATGTCTTTAAACATACTAAACATGTTTATTGTATAGTTTAGTTTTCCTCGTTTTTTATTTTAACTTTAATAGAGTATCAGTCCAGGCATGGTGGCTCACACCTGTAATCCCAGCACTTTGGGAGGCTGAGATGGGAGAATCACTTGAGGCCAGGAGTTAGATACCAGCCTGGGCAACATAGTGAGACCTCATCCTGACAAAGAAAATGAAAAAATAGCTGGGCATGATGGCACGTGCCTGTAGTCCCACTACTTGGGAGGCTGAGGCAGGAGGATTGCTTGAGCCCAGAAGTTTGGGTCTGCAGTGAGCTGTGATTGGGGCACTGCCCTCCAGCCTGGGTGACAGCGTGAGGCCCTTTCTCAAATAAACAAATAGGTAAACTATCAAACTGTGTACATTCTGTAACGTGCTTTTCATGTTTTATACTGAGTTGGTGAGAGTTATCCATGTGCATTTCCCAGCAATTCCAGTATTTTCACGGTGTTGGTCTGATTCCGGTCGATAAGATTGTTTCTGCTGACTTGGCTCATAGAGCCTTGTTTCCTTTGTACTTCTACTGTGAATTTGTCTTCATTGGAACTTAATTTGGGGGAGTTATTTGAGGATGTGTTAAGGGTGCATTTCTGCTGAAAGCATGTCTGTTTGTTTCTGTCAGACACGTGGAGGTACAAGGCTACGTGAAGTTCTTACTGTGCAGTGATTTCAACCGTGCCAGTGGAGTAAATTGGGATCTGGAGGCTGCATGCTGGTCAGCCTTGAGCCCCCGGGTCTCAGGGAGCTTTTTATTTCTCCTTCACCCAGAGCAAACCATGAGACAGAATTTTTCTTTCTTCTCTCCCTTCGTACCATGGAATTTTTCTTGTTCACCCTTTCATTGGGCTTGTAGACCTCTGTGGTCAGGGCTTTACAAGGGACCTCTGCTCACATTCCACACTCCCTATGGGCCCAGGGCTTTTTCTCCCATGCCCCCTGCATGTGAGGGATAAACGAGAAGCTCCAGGCCAGTGGTTCCCAACTTTTTTGGCACCAGGGACTGGTTTCATGGGAGATAACTTTTCCATGGATGGGTGGGGAGGAGCTTGGGGAGAGAGTTCAGAGGGTGATGTAAGTGATGGGGAGCCATTGTTAATATAGACGAAACTCGCTGGCCCCACGGCTCACCTCCTTCTGTGTAGCTCAGTTCCTAACAGGCCACGGATGGGAGTTGGGGACCACAGCTCTGGGCCATCAGAGTTTGGCAGAAGTCCCAGAGTAGCTGATGAGGTTTCAGAATCCACTAGGTTCTGGATTTGTGAACTCATTTTGTCCTAGCCATGGAGTTCCTATACTTTGTTGCAACTTAGACCACATTTAAAAAGGAGTTTTAAATATTTTATCTACATTTTCAAATGCCTTGTAATGAGAATATTTCAAGAGATCTAGTTTCCCTTATTGTGTGCAATGAAAGACTGTTCTTTTCTAAATTTAATCCAATGGACAGCTTCTGGTGGCTAACCACTGCTTCACCACCTTTTCATCATCCTCTATCTTAAGTTTCTTCTTATTCATTTGTTTCTGGCTAAGAACCTTTCTTGAGTATTTTTGTTAGGTAAATATGCAAATGATACATCTTCTGAATTTTGTCCCTTTTAAAATAACCTTCTTTAACTCTGAAAAGAGAATGTTATTAAAATAGCTAAGAATAAAGTTTTTGAATTTTCGTGGTTTTTTAAAAATTTTATATAATGTTGATATTATTTCACCATCTCCTAGCTTCTTGTGTTGTAAATGCCAGTCTGATCATCTTTCTTTCTTTATTACTTTTCTTCTAGAAGCTTGTCAGTTTTTATTCTAACCATATAGTTCAGGAACTTTACAAAACTATACCTACATCAGTGGCATTACTCTCTGATCTTGCTCAGAACTTGGTAAGTGGTTTCAACCTGCAGGTTTTTCTTCTGCTAAAGGAACCTTCTTGTATTACAGTACAAACCCATGATGATGCAAATCTGTATTGCCGATGTCATCTGCCCAGCTTCCATCTCAAACAGGTGTGTCCTGAAATGCCTATGCTCTGTGTGGAGGAAGGGAGGAGAGGACAATGACAGGACAGGCAGGTGGAGAAACTATCAGCAACCTCATGGCAGGAAGTGGGGTCCTTTATCTTCTGGTACAATCTCCTCACATTGGGTTGATGAAATGGGCACCAACTAATGGGATGATTCCTGAAATTTCTGCTATTGACCTAGAGGTCTCAGCCAGCCACAACATCCAGAATTGTCCCCACTGACATTTAAGCTGGAGCAGAGCACTGTCAGCTGAGCCCTGGATGACTTTGGATCACGTAGATGGACATCCAGGGGATTCCTGGCTGGCAGCCCACACAGGTTCACCCAGGATGCTGCTTGACCTCACAATCATGCATACCTCACATTTTTTACAGCTGACTGTTTGGATCCCACTTAAGCCCAGTGGCAGAATTCAACTCTATTGGCTACTTTTTTCTATTTCTTTTTGTTACCGACATGCTAGATTTTCTGGGTCAATTCTCCAACTCTTTTACCTTTACCCAGAGGGTTTCTGCCTCTTTGCGTTTTTGCTCCATGCTTTAAAATATGTCTCCCATGTGTCCTCGGATGTTAGTTTCCAACTCAAAACTAACTGCTGTCTCATTTAATTCATCTACTCTACTGGGGAAGCCAAGGTTGGAGAATTTCAACAATCTTTAAATTCTGCAAGTGGTGGCAGTTCTGCAGGTGGTACTGTAGAAGGAGCCATGTTCTCTTCCGATGGGTTGGTGGTGCAGCTGCAGATAGGCTCCCAGGCCCTGACACGGCATGATACGGAAAGTGCTCTGATGGAAGGGCGCTGTCTCTCAGGCTCCAGTGTGGGAAGGATCTGTGCCCTTTCAGCTCCTCTTTGGCATGTAGGTGGCCAGGCATTCCAGGCACACTCACATGGCGTCTTTGATGCATGCAATGCTGTGTCAGCTCTTCCTGAAACCACCCTTTGTGATCCTGATCCCAGGGATCTCTATGGCTAATCTCCATGCTCTTGACTTAGCCATGGAGGAGGAGGCCCCGCACCGATTCTCCTCCTAAGGATGCCCAGAGTTCAAGGCACACACACACACACACACACACACCTGCAGCTGCCTGGCTTAGGAAAGGCAGGTCAGTTGGTGTGGGAGGGAAGCCCCAGCCAGCTGTGTATAGGTGGTCATTGTCCCAGGATCCTCTGCCATCCCATGTGTGTCCTTCAAGGTTCACTGTGACTGCTCCTCATTCGTGTCCCTATTCAGCAGGTGTTTTGGAATGTCTACTCTCTGCTGGGCAGCATGCTGCTCTTAGCCACACATGAGCAGAGGAAGTGTGGAATGGGCCGAGTAA